AAAAAAAAAAAAAAATATATATAGAAATACCATTGATTTTTGTGTGTTGATCTTGTATCCAGCGTCTTTACTAAATTCATTTATTAGCTCTAATAGTTGTATGTGTGTTTTTAGTAGATTCTGTAGTATTTTCTAGATGTAAGTTCACATCATTTATGAAGAGAGGTCATTTTACTTCTTCCTTTCTGATTTGGATGCCTTTTATTTTTTCTTGCTGAATTGCTCTGGCTAGAACTTCTAGTATAATGTTGAATACAAATGGCAAAAGCTGGCTTCCTTGTCTTGTTCCTAATCTTAAGGGGAAAGATTTCAATCTTTCATCATTGAGTATGATGTTAGTTGCCCTTTGTCATGTTGAAGAAACTCCCATCTATTCTTAGTTTGTTGAGGGTTTTTACCATGAAAAGTTGTTGCATTTTGTCAAATGTTTTTTCTGTGTCATTTGAGATGACCATGTGGTCTTTTTCCTTCATTCTGTTAATGTGGTGTATTACATTGATTGATTTTTTTTTTTAATGCAAATACTGTTTATTGGTTTCCTGTTGATCTTTCAGATGGGGATCTGGGAAGAGGATAACAGTGCATCTGTATTTAACCTTCCATCTTAACCTGTTTAACTATATTCAATGAATTACCTATTTTAATGCCTTTCCGTTTTGCCTATTAAGAAAAACAAGTTGACAACTTGGACTTAGACCTAGGTATATTTATCTAGTGTAATATATAACAGATAAAGCCCATGGCCATTTATCCAAGGCCATTATCCAAGGCCATTTATCAAACAGTTCTTTCTTTTCCCACAGATTTGTAAGATTTTATTTATTTATTTTTCCCCCAAAGCCCCAGTACATAGTTGTCTGTCATAGCTGCACATCCTTCTAGTTGCTGTATGTGGGACGCGGCCTCAGCATGGCTGGAGGAGTGGTGCCTCGGTGCGCACCCGGGATCCGAACCCGGGCCGCCGGCAGCGGAGCGCAGGCACTTAACCGCTAAGTCACGGGGCCGGCCCGTCCCACAGATTTGTGATGCTACTGCATGTACCAAATCCCCATCCATGCTGAGGACTGTTTCTGGGCCGTGTTTTGGATCTGTTTTCTGTTCTGCTGATTCATTTGGTGACATCTGCAATAATAGCACACTACTCCAAATATGTAGGGTTTTTTTTTTCTAATACCATTTTTAAGTGTACAATTCAGTAGCATTAAGTGCATTCACAATGTTATGCAACCATCGCCATTATCCACTTCCAAGACTTTTTCATCACCCCAAGCAGAAACTTTGTATTCATTTAAACAATTAACTCCCTAATCCATTCCCCTCCTCCTCCAGCCTCTGATAATCTCTGGTCTACTTTTCGTCTCTATGGAGTTGCCCTATTCTGTGTAACTCACATAAATGAAATCATACAATATTTGTCCTTTTGTGTCTGGCTTATTTCACTTAGCATAGTGTTTTCAAGATTCATCTATGTTGTAGCAAGTATCAGAATTTCATTCTTTTTTATGCTAAATAATATTCCCTTGTATGTATATATCACATTTTGTTTATCCATTCATCTGTTGATGGACATTTGGATTCTTTCCACCTTTTGGCTATTGTGAATAATGCTGCTGTGAACACTGGTGTACAAGTATCTGATTAAGTCTCTGCTTTCAATTCTTTTGGGTTTATACCTAGATGAGGAATTGCTGGATCATGTGGTATTTCTATGTTTAAATTTTGAGGATCCACCAAACTGTTGTCTACCATTTTACATTCTCATTAGCAATGCACGAGAATTCCAATTTCTTCACATCCTTGACAATACTTGTTCTTTTCATTTTTTTTTTCTTTATAATAGCCCCCCTAACGGGTGTGAAGTGATATCTCATTGTGGTTTTGATTTCTCTAGTGACTAGTGATGTTGAGCATCTTTTCATTTGCTTATTGACCATTTGTATATCTTCTTTGGAGAAATGTCTAGTCAAGTCCTATGTCCATTTTTAAATAGGGTTGTTTTTTATTGTTGAGTTGTAGGAATTTTTAAAAATATATTCCAGATATTAATCCCTTAGCAGATATATGATTTGCAAATATTTTCTCCTGTGGTTTGTCTTTTCACTCTGTTGATAGTGCCCTTTGATACATAAAAGTTTTTAATTTTGATGAAGTCCAATTTATCTATTTTTTCTCTTTTTTCTGTGCTTATGGTGTCATATCCAAGATGCTATCGCCAAATCCAATGTTATGAAGATTTTCCCCTATGTTTTCTTGTAAACATTTTATAGTTTTAACTCTTACATTCAGTGTTTAATTCATTTTGAGTTAATTTTTGCATATGGTGTAAGATAAGGATCCAACTTCATTCTTTTATATGTGGGTATCCAGTTTTCTCAGCACCGCTTGTTGAAAAGACTGTCCTTTCCCTATTTAATGGTCTTGGGATAAATCCCACTTGGTCGTGGCATAGAATCTTTTTTTTTTTTTTCTTTTTTTCATTTATATTGTAGCATGTGTCTGAATTTCCTTCCTTTTTTAAGGCTGAATGAATAATATTCTATGGTATGTATATACCACATGTTTTTTATCCATTCATCTGTTGATGGACACTTGGGTTGCTTCCACTTTTTGACTATTGTGTCTTGATTTGAGTTGTTTTTTCTTGTCTTTTTTTTATTGAGGTAATATTAGTTCATAACATTATATAAATTTCAGGTGTACATCATTAGG